AGATGTAGTTAGAACTTATAGGAATGGATCTATTGCTTATCCATGGCTAAATTATTTTAAATGTTAAATCATCAGGGTCTGATCCAGGGTGGATGTTTTCCTCATACAGAGGAGTATTGAATTTTTTTTCCCTTCAAAATGTTGAATCCTGGCCAATAAAAGCTCTGGTCTTACTAAGAATTTTAGGAATGCTCTTATGGAGTTTTGCCATAAAGCATCTACAGCCTTACACCAATGAGTTAGTAAAAGGAAATAATATAGACAGAACAGAATTTGTTTTAGTGAAATAGTTATAATTCATTCGCAGTTTTCCAAGACTGCACTGTTATATTGCATATAATCCTTATTGGCTTTACAAGAACTCAGTGTACTGTTCAAATATATCTAGACTTGCTCATGCATAAGTTGCCTTAATAGGACTTTTTTATAGCCTAGTCACTCTCTTAAAGAGACCTACTAAATAAAACAGAAACAAAGACTATATTAAATTGCCTCAAGTTAAATTTAAAATATACTTTTCAGCTAGTAGCCAACACTTTCAGCAAGCCTCTGTTATAGAGTTAATCTAGTGAAATAACAAAGAATGTCCCAAAGATCTTGATAAATAATAACGGAAATCATAAAAGATTGATATTGCATATTATGTTTTCATTGCCCCTGTGGTCATAAGTTAGATTAGCCAGCCATGTGGAGCCTAAAAAGAAAAATACCATATTTTCTCATGTACAACACTCGGCTTTCCCCCCAATTTTTGCATGGATGTAGTATCTAGTGCTGTGCGAAGCTTTGGTCCCTGATTTGATTCAGCGGAGATTTGGCCTGAGTCAGTGCCCAAATCTCAGAATCCGAATCAAATCAGAGGACCCTTTAATCTGTCTGAATCATTTTGGAACGCTCCAAATTGTTTCGGAGAGATTCAGACAGATTCAGCGATTCAGACGTAGATACAGCTTTGAATGTTTTTTTTCTACATACCTCTAGGTAGGAGGGGCTCTGAACACTGCAGTGCTGGGGCAGATGCAGCGTCCCACAGAAGCACGGGGGGCTCCCCAGTGCTCTCGGCAGCAGACCCAGAAGTGGACCAGAAGCACTTCCACTAAACTTCCTGGTCCACCAGGGAGCATGCAGGCTGTGCCCCCCCGCACGCCCCTGGCTTGGTGACTGGTGCCTCCTGGGCCTGGGGGAGGACCTGGGGTCCCCCTGTGGCTGATCGCCGAGCCGGGAGGACATGGGTGGGGGTAATCCCCCCAGCACGTTCCCTGGCAGACCTGGAACTTCCGGGTTCTCTGCCCAGCATGCCGGAGAGTCTCCCGTGCTCCTGTGGGATGCTCCATCTGCCCCAGCACATAGAAAAAAATGTTTAAAGCCGTGAATCAGCATCAAATGTTCAGATTCAGCCAAGTTGAATCAGGGACAGTGATCCAAATCAACGGATCAAATCACTGTCCTGGATTCAGGCCCAATCCAAATCAAATAGGGCCCGTTTCACACAGCCCTAGTAGTAAAACTGCAAAGAGGGAAGATAGAAAAAGATGAGGGGACCTTTCCTGCTTTCCTCTCCATCCACAAGTATCTACAGAGTTTGGCTTAGAAAGAAGGCTGAGGTTCCGTTTCTGGAAGTGAAGGGAGTTCCTAATGCTGGGACTGAGGAATAACCTACCTCCAGTGCAGTTCTGTGGCTGTATGGTTGTGATTTTTTTCCCCTTTAACTGAACTTGGAGGTAAAACTCTCAGCATTTGAGACCTTGCTGTTTTTTGTAACCAGTTCAAAATTCTCCTCTGGCTAATATTGTCTACCATAAAGTTCAGCGTTTATTGGTTTTATTCAGAGGACACTCGAAGCAAGGCAGTGTGCTGACTGGTGCTGAATATAAACACATACTGCTAATTAGATTGGTCCTGTGACTGCAGGGCTGAACTGCTCTAGTTTTGTTTGAGTTAGTAGGGGCAAGATAAATTGAAGGTTTTAGATAAATCGCATAACTCATGTATATAATAGCTCAACTTAAACTTAGAACACCCATTTCTTACTGTGTACTTTCAGATAGTTTATCTTTTAGCTTCATCCAGATGGGAAATAACCAAGTATTTAAATTCCATTACCGAACAGTTTGTATAGTATTTGAGTTTTCTATTTCTTTCTTTGTACAGTTTATTAATAATTCTTTTGTACAAATATAAGCTTGACAGGGAGTGCTGTTAGAAATACTTTCAGAGTATAAATAGGACATTCAAAGCCGAGTCATTGGGTTTGAAACTGGGAGGGAGAGTGTCCCTGCTCTGAGGATCCTTCAGACAAAGGTTGGGAAGGGAAAGAGGACCAGGGAAGTGAAATGACTTGTGATCACATGGAAGATCACATACAGTGCCAGAAATAGAAGCTGGGTTTCCAAATTCCATGGAGGTTTTAAGACCCGGCTAGACAAAGCCTTGCTTGGGATGTCTTGTTGGTGCTGGTCCTGCTTTGAGCAGGAGGTTGGACTAGATGATCTCCTGAGGTTCCTTCCCACCCTCATTTTCTGATTCCCAGTAAAGTGTGCTAGACAACATTGCCTCTTTTTTTTATGCTGATTGTGCTGCATGGAGCAAAGCATTGCTATAGTATTAATATTTGTAGGACTAGAAAAAGCTACTAGTATATTAATAAACTGTTGCAAAGAAAGGCAGAATATGTTTGTGTGATCTAATGCTTCTTCATCACATTATATTAGCATGTTTTTTTCTTTCCTCCTCCTCCCTTGGTATTCTTGGCTAAAGCACCATTTTTTATTTGTTTGCAAAGCAGTATTTGTTTAATATAGTTATTAACATTTTGAATATTTTTTTTGGATTATTCTATTAATAAATATGCTTAATAGTGCACCAAGTAGATTTAATGCCATGCATGATAACGGGCATTTGTGTTTCACTTCACTGATTTGGTTAGAACCCAAATTTATGCAAATGTATAACTGCAGCCTTGAGCGAATTGCTCGTTCTATTTTATTGAACCACACTTCGTTTTTCTTGGTTTAAACATCCGTGTGTTAACTCCAGGCTCTGCCTGTCAGGCCAGTCCTGTGTTACTGGAGTCAGAAGGCCAACCACTCTGCTTCCCACTGGTCTGGTTACTCAAGAACAGCCGGCCTGGTTAGAATCTGATTTTATTTTATTTTGTTATTTTTTATTTTATTTATTTTTTGTATATTTCTTTTTCCTGATCAAATTGACTTAGGAACCTTTACTAACCTGAAATATGCTCATCACCAGGCTATATCACTAAATTTAAGTTTTTGGTAAATATGAAAGTAGAATATTGCTGAATTTTTTTTCTTTGGTTGCAAAATTAAAAAGTAAAATATAATTTGAAGGATTTTACTTTTAAAATCTTGATCATGCTAGATTATTAAAGTCTATTCTGTTAGAAATGAAAAAATGTCTCTTGTGGGAGAAACTGAATTCCTGTATTTATCCAAAAGGTCTCCATACAATTAATGTCTGTATGGTGGTTCTGCAGGTAACTCATTATGTACTTGAGGGACGTACTAATAGTACAGGACAAATCTAATCCATGCTTAGCGTTGATTTTTGTTCTAGCAGAAGTTTATGCTTGCATGCAATGGTTTTGATATATGAAAGCCAAGATGGATTGATTCAGAGTGATTTAAGCTGTTGATTTGTAATTATCATTCAAATCAGGAGGCAGGAAACCTTAATTTAGAGCATTGATTTTAATCTTGCCTTGCATCAGTATTCTGTAGTAATTTTCTAAAAGCATGGTACAATTTAATTGTTTGGTATAACTATTAAACCATGTAGATATGCAAGCATATAAAACATTTATATGGAAGAAGATTTCTTTTTGCGACCCAGGAAAATGCATTAATTGCATAAATAAATATGAAGATGTATATAAACATATAGCTTAATAGGCATCCATTTGGATTTTTAATGTTTTCATTTTCTCCTTATGTAGTTATATGGCAACTGATGCATTAATTTGCCGTATGATGATTTTTTTTTTACATGGGAATTGTCTGGCTGTGTTTAGATGGAAGTTGTAATTCAGTTAAACATAACAAAACATTTGTGTACATTCATTGTATATGTACACACCGCTTGAAATGAGCTTCTTGGTCAGCAGGAAACAGGTGCAATGTTTCATCTCAAGCTAAGTAGAAACTGTAAATATTATGCCTAAATTAATTTAAATCAGGTAGGCAATGTGTGCCAGGCTGTGGCGCACATGTGTGCCCTGGGGCAGATGGCAGGGGAGTTCAGAGGATCCCGATCCTTGTGGCAGTGCAGCCTCTGCCCCACCCACCCCTGCTGTTTGCCCCAAGGCATGCGTGCAACAAGTCGGGTCGGGTCTTTGCGGATGTCAGTGCAGCTGCCTGCTGTCTCCCTGCTGCTTGTCACAAGCATCCTGGGTTCTGTGATGGGTGGCAGGGGCCTGCCCAGAACCTGGGCCAGCTGTGGCAGGCAGCTGGGAGGTGCAGGTGGCTGTTCTGGGGTCCGCGGAGCCCTAGCCCTGCTTTTTGCTGGCGGCGGGCACGTGCATGCTTCGGGCTGGGTGCCAGGGAAGGGTCTGGGGCTGCGCTGCCACAACAAGGATTGGGGCCCTCTCAGCTCCCCTGCCATCTACCCTGAAGTTCCTGGTTTAAATCTTTTTTGTATATGCCAACTTTAATTTCTTTTTTTTAAAGGTTGCAAACAATAAAAATTTGTTTTTCCAAACGTTTGTCAGTGTTTGGCTTGATTGTTGTTTAGTGATCATTATCAAAGTTTGGAGCCATAAGCAGCCTAGCCTGAAGTATAGTCATCAAATCTAAATTTGGCCCTTTGCTGGGAGGGGAAAAAATGTTGGGGACCTCCATACAGGATCACCGAGACACTCTTTGCTAGGCTTTCTTTCATTGATTGTGTAGTGATGACTGTTCCAAAAGAAGTTTGTAATGTGTATGTAAATAACCTAGACATGAGTTGTTGATTTTAAAACAATCTCCCTTTTATTTTGACAGGCATTTGGAAATGCAAAGACAGCACATAACAACAACTCAAGTCGCTTCGGCAAATTTATTCAAGTGAATTACCAGGAGACAGGCACCGTGCGGGGGTAAGTGGCACAATCAGCAGTAGCTCAAGGTTTTGAATTTTAGAAGCATCGTCTGTACTGCTATTCTGACATGCGCTATCGGTAATATGTGACCTAGAAGGCTGTCTGCTTTATATTTTAGGCCCAGCTGTCGTATTTTACACCTAATATAAAGATATGGGTATGTCTGTACTGTGGTCACAGAAGTGACTGCCATGTAGTTTAGGGGTACCTGAGCTGACTTTTAGCTATCTATCCATCTACTAATTTACCCTGGTGTTTCCATCACAGTATATATGATTTAGCTTCTCAGCTCCAGTCGGTCATAACTGCAATTGGATAACCAAACCTCCATAATGAAAATATAACTTGTATTCCGTTTCTTTGTTCCGATTTCAAAAAATGGATTTACGTTCTTTAGCATTTAGAATACGCAATGTTTTGCCCTGGCTAAATAGCCCTGCTGTGGAGCAGGACAGACTAGACTGTCTAGGGTACCATACATTGTAGCTATGTTTCTCCAGTATTTTGAACTTGCTGCCCTGGGCCAAGTAGATGCATCGTTTTTACACTCTCGCTTGTTTCCCAGGAGACAAATATCACTCGTTATTGTCTTGGGTACTGAAACATTAAGATTCTTTTATTTTTAAATGCTCTCTCAAAACAAAACCCAGCATCTATCTTTCTTATAATGATAAGGTGGTAGTAATTGGGGGGGGGGGGAGATAACATTTCTCTTTTATTTCAAACAGAGCTAAATTGATTTG